TAACTCCCTTTTTATATTTACTTATTTGATTATTCCATTCACATTTGAATTTAGGTTCATTCCAAAAAAATTCGCCTATTTCTTATGATTATTTTTTAATTTGTATTTTTAATAATTTATAAATTTTCAAAAACGTTTGATTATAATCTGTAAAATTTTTACCATCATCTTAAAATAGACGTATTTCTAAGCATACCTGTCCAGATTCGAAGTTCGGACCTCTTATTTGCTGATTGGATGTGCTTCCAATTACATCACGAAGGTATATGTTGAGGAAAGAGAAAGTTTCTTATATTTTTCTCCACTTAAAGAGAGCTGGGAAGGAGGGGGCCCTACCGCCAAATCCAAGTGATGACGAATTATGATTCACCACTTTTTAGTTCGGGCGCCATATGTAGGTTTCCATAATTTTTTGAGGCCGGAAAAGATGAAGAGTTAGCTGCCCAACTAGGACATCCTGACTGCTAGGAGAACGTGCTTCCAATTACACTACGAATGCACGTGGTAATGAAGGAGGGAATTGCTTAGTAACGAAAAGAAATATTTTTCAGTCCTTATATCTTAATACGAACACATGAAATTCTACAAAAACTTTCCTAAGAATATCTATAACTAACTGCTAACATTAATTAAAAGTTCATACATTTAATAAATTTAGCTTTTTTATTAGTTTTTCTTATAAATTGACTGTATTTGATCCTTGATAATAGAACGCTTCACTTTATATTCGGCGAAAATTTCGTTAAAAAGTCATTGTAATTTTTTCTGTATGGAAAATATAATGTTCTGTTATTTACCGTGTAGTTAGACTGCTCCATATTAAGTGTTTTAAACAACATGAAGAGGTATGTATTGTTTTATGTGGACGCGATACAGAAGTATTGTTAACTGAGTGAAGTAACTGTTGCAAGCCTTGTACACAAGCGATCCAGAGGAATAAATACAGTAAACCAGGCCTTAAATAATTATTAAATAAAGCGCAGAAGCCTCATCGTAGTATTGGTTTTACGTTTAAAAAAATATCATAGCATATCATTCTTTCCATTTGGTTCTGCCATTTTGAACATCTCATTTTAAAAGATTTTACATTTTGTATCTTTAATTTCTGGGGGACTACTATTTAAACTTGTAAGCCTATCATTACTACTTACCTTAAAAATATTTCAGGTAATAAACTGTAATTCACATATCAAGGTTAGATGACACTGATTTTTAATTTTATGTGTAACATGATTAATCATGTTTAATCTAAAATTAACATGATCAATTATGTTAACAATTATTTTTTTTAATTTTATTTCTCTGAGTGGCATGGCTTTTTGAATCCGCTTGTGAAGGTCTGGATTTAAGCAGTATTTATTAGCTAAATTTGTGTAATTACTTATTTTAGTCTCTGTTTTCATAAACTTTCATTAATTAAGATAATATTTATATTATTAAAGAAAGTAAGAAATCAAAATATCTTAAAGAATAATATATATATATAATCAATCAAGTGACAAAAAAAATCTCATGATCGGACACAGGCGCTCATGCCATAATGCAAATAATTTAAAATGCTTTCAGAAATTTCTATGGTCTACTGTTCTATTTGTTATTTAATAATAATTAAATAAGCATGTTATGTATAGAATTTTTTGATAATATTCTTGTTATATGTTAAATTAATTCTAAGTAAAGAAAGCATGCTACAGTTCTGAGAAGATACTTTATTTAGAAACATGTAATGAAAGCCACAATAAATATTTTCCTTAGTAAGAACAATGATAATTTGATTTCATGAAGCAATATAATTTAATAAATAAACTGAGAAATGAATAAAATCACCAGCTCTTGTATTCCTAAGCAATGGAATATAAAAATTTTAATCTCTTAAAAACTGTCTTTAATTAAGAAAATTTTTAAGCATTTGCTTGGAAAACAACACATGCGACTTTCAGCGTGAGAGAAGATCCAAGAATTTGCTATCAGCATGCCATTATTTTGTTAAGAAAACTGGGAAAAAATAGCCCTTTTTCGATTCTGAAGCGCGAAAAATATTCCCTGAAGTCGAGACATATGTTTTTAGTAAATTATTTTAAGTACTATGAATGTTTTTCTTTTTTTTTGTATTGAATTAGCAAAATAATACGGAAACAATAACACGATTGGTATTAGAATGAATAAAAATTTCACAGCAATACTTAGCAACGCGAAATATAAATGCTGCAAAGCAGTTGACTCAAATTACATTCGGGCTGAATTCCTTTTTTCTTTTTCCCTTACCAAAAAGAAAATGGTTTTTTAACGAAAGATTTTAAAACTAAATTTAAAATCTTATTTACTAAAATTTATCAAAACTCAAATAAATGGTAATAATAATGACGCAAAGAAAAAATTCCAATTTATATTTACTTTCTGTGTGAAATCTAGAGGTTGGTTGGTATCTGCGAAATATTTGTATCACTTCCATTTTGTAATTCGAATATATTGATAGTTAAATATAAAATTTTCAAATTGCTATTTATTTCAAATAATTCTAATGTGTTAAATTAATGACTAACTAATTTACTTTTAATGTAAATTAAAATTAAAATTGCCACAAAACTTGAAAATAAATAATGACAATGTAATGTCTTTCTTTTATTTACTAAAGTTTTCTTCAACGTACCTATTGCCTATTACCACCTATTATCTATTACCTAGCACCTATTACCACCTATACTGCAATACACAAACATGCACATTATTCGGCCGACTTTCAGTTTGACAGAGTAGAGTGTGTGTACATTAATGAAAGTCCACCGACTGCAGATGAAATAAGTTTCATTGAGAAAAACCTCTGAGGAAAACTTCAGATTTCGGGACCTGTTATGCTTACAGAAGAACTACAATAATTAGTTATCTTGCGCACCTCGAACCGATCTAGCACTAAAGAACAGTAGTGATCAGGTAACCCGTTGAAATGTCACTGAGTTTGAAAATATGGCCTTTCTTTTTTCTCCAAGTGACGTAGAACACAATTATGTATTGCAGTAAATAACAATTTTCTAAATAAGTAAATAAGTAAAATCTGCGTTTTTTTTAACACAATTATATTTTGAGTCTGTATGTTTCGATAAAATTCTTGTCATAGTTCTATATATTTGAATATGTAAGATTATTTTTTTTTTTTTTGCATTGGTAGTTATGAGCTTTTATATAGGGAAAGTCACATAATTTTGAAACTATGCAAAATTATTGGAAATTTAACATCAGAACACTTTCTTCCCAGTTTCCAAAGGAAAGCTACTAGATAGGCTAGTAGATGGCATAACTGGCATATTCTTTCAGTAACCATTTTAGCATTCAAATGTTCTCGTTCCTATAGCTTTGAATACAAAATGGTTTAAATGTGTCGTCAAGAGACATAATGCAATACAGTTTGGTTTTCCCAAACTCTGAAACCCTTCGCTAAAAGAAAAAGAAAGACGAAACCATTTTTCTTACCTAACTGTCACTGAACACCTAACCTAACCTATAAATCTCTCAAAAAATTTGATTTGAAAATTTTCAAAAGAAATTCTTCATAAAATTTATAAAATAAACCAATTTCTAGTCTGTGGTTTTGCTTAATATATTTTGAATACTAAATAACACATGACCATTATTCTATTCCCTGATGCATTCCGTATATATATTCTTGATGATTGGTAACTATTCGATAGATTCAACGACATTCTTTTAATAATACATGAAGCAAATATGCGAATAATATATTTCGTCTAAACACAAAAATTTAGGAGATAGAAAACTAGGTAATGAAAGTTAACAGTCTAAATTTTTGCTGCGCGTAAGCTAATAGACCCACGGCTACGAAATTTGGTACATAGGTGCATCTAGACAAGAGCCAGTGCACCTCGAGGCGATTTTTTCGAAATTCGAATTAGAATTTTTTTATTTAATGTTTTATGACGAAATCGCGACATTTTGAGACATAATGGGCTATAGGAAAGCGAGATTTTACTCTACACACTCCTTTTTCACATCGTCATGAAACGTAGACACTTAGCTATTTTACGAACTTAAAATAAATTTCGTGTTTCAATAAATCGATTAAAGACGAATTTATTTAACAAAGGGAGCTTAAGACCTTTTACAACAGGAATATTTTCTAAAAAACGTTTATTTTAAAAAATGTACAGCTTATTTTTCTTTGAATTTTGGACACGTTAAACTTTCATACTTGCGACTGCTTTTACAAAAGAATTTTGGAAAAACTATAATATTTTGTATTTTAAAAAAAAATTTTAAATGAAGCTTCCGAATACACTCTCTCACATCTTTAAAAATGTGATTTTGGCAACAATTTTCCTGTGTTATTGTTTTGGTGATAGATTTTGTGAAAATCGCATCATTTTTGAATAGTTTCATTCTTTTAGAATATGGGTTTGGCAATTTTTCATCGTATTTCTTATGTCACTGTTTTTAAGAGATTGGCAATACTTTTTATTGATTTTTTTGATAAAGTTGTTCTGTAAAGTAAAATTCTGCGCGGAATTTTATGTTTTTTGAGTTGCTTTCATGTTATTTTTTGCTTATTTCACTGTTTGTAAGATATTGAAAAGTTTTGCATGATTTTTTTTCTTCAACGGAAAGTTTGGTTAATTTTTTTATTAGGATAATAATATTTGTATTAAGGGATATAGCTTATTTCATTGTAATTTTTTTCTCTTGAAAATATAACGTAAAATATCATTAATTATAATATCTTTTCAGAATTTTTTTGTTTTTTGTATTCTTTTATGTTATTTATTGCTCATTTCACTGTCTTTAAGATAATGAAAAGTTTTGAGTGATTTTTTTAGGAAACGAAGTTCTTAACCTCCTTTATACCATTCGAGTTCTTAAGATTTTGCAAAGGGAATTTAATTATTTATTTATTAAGATAATTAATATTTGTATTAAGGGATATTGCTTATTTCATTGTAATTTTGTTATACGTAATAACTGTTTTTTATGAAGTTGTCCTGCAGAGTAAAATTCTACGCAGTTTTTAAATTTAATGTTCCCTTCAGCCATTTTCCCGGTACATTTAAAAGCCAGACGAAGGCTGGCAGCGAAGCTGCTAGTGAAAATCTATTTACAATGAAATATATAAAGTAGTTCTGGAAAAGTATTTAAACCACACCCGCTATGTCTAAAATGTGGCATGTAACATAGCCGCTATGTTATACATATACAAGCTTAATTACGCTATATTATACCTATACAGGCTGCAAGTAAAACTTAAATACCACTAAAAAGTATTCTCTTGTCCTACATATATACCCATAAATTATGCAAAAGTCTCTAGCGGCATCTAATAATAATAAATTATTAGTTTATATTGAAATGTAATCGTCGAAAGATCAAGAATGTGTTGCATTCCATATATCAAGCTTAAAATTCTTATTTTGCAGAGCTGGATAAACATTCAGTTCTCGGTACATAAATGTGCAGCTTACAGTTAGATGGTTCATAAAACAAAAAGTTGAGAATGATCAAATTTTGATTTTACAAAAAAAATAATATAAAGGACAAAAAAACAAGGAATTTTCCACCATTTTATAAGCTTCAAATATCGTGGTTCCCAAAACAAGCTGAGAATTTTATGTTGAGCGGATGATATTAAAATATGACACTAAATGAAACAAAACGTGTTTACATTGGATTTGTACTACAAAGCCTGCTGTGCGGATGCAATTTTCTATCAAGCAAATACCACAGAATAAGTGTTTTAAAAATATTTTTTAGCACATATTAGTGAAAGTTTAGATACTAATAAAAATCCAATTTTATTTTTATTTCTGTTTGAGTTTATAACCTATACGTAGGTGTTTAAAATTTGCTTTAGCATAAGTAAATGTTTTGGTTTATATATATATATATATATATATATATATATATGTATTGTAAACTACACCTGAATTAGCCAGATGTTTCATTGATTACAAATTAATTTATACATTTGCGCTAGATGTACCTCTACATTTTATTACGTGAAAAAACTTTGGGAACCACAGTCATAACTGATGCTTATCAAGGAAGACATACCAGCAAAGAGAAATTAAAGTTACTGAAGGAATGGAACTTTGGGACAAATAAAACTTCACATAAACACAAACCATAGTTTTTTCATTAATAATTAATTGATTAAAAGCTCCTACATTACGATAGTCTTCTTGTGCTTCCTAAAGCATGAAACAAATCATTCTCTATAAAAATTATTTTCATTTATGTAAATAAAAGGGTAAGTGAATGCCACTCATTTGAAATTTTAGAACTATTTTGATTTACTGTTATGAAATAATTATTTTGAGAAGAAAATTTTACCAGCTACTTATAAAAACTACTATAAGTAAAAAAAATTATAATTTTTGTCGAAGTAAGCATTTCACAATACAATATAAAAATAATTGTACTGTGAAATATTAAATATGTGTATAAATATATATTATTTTCCTGCCTAAAAGTTCCAAGTGAGAGAAATTTACGGTCTGTAATGAATTTATTAAACTATTTTCTGCGAGTATTTTAACTTTATAATATCGATATAATTTTCTATCTTCTTCATATGGAAAATGAAGCATGTGCATTGAAATTGCAAATGCATGGGTTAAGTTTAGAAATCTGACTATTTAAGAAAATAAGCAAAGAAACATTTTTACCTCTCATTATTAAAATATTGAAACTTTTAACCGAGATAGAAACTTTTAGGCAAAAAGTATTCGTTGTTGAGTGCTGATCTGCTTCCCGCTTTCCATCTGCAATACTAAAGAGGAGAAGCCGAAAATTTTTGGATATAATTCTAAACAATTTTAATTCTATGCAAGTATCACTACTGGATGCTTGAAATGTCCACGAATGCTTGTAAACTTTAAATTCGCCAAGGTTTAAGCACAGAGAAGACTTTCGTCATTTTATGGAGGTCATAGTTCTCAAGAATCCCAACGGCACACGTTGAGGCATCACGTCCAGTTGAAGGCACGAGAGAGCGTCTTGCAGCATACAAAATATAATAAATTAATGTCCGGACTGCAGGGCAGCCTGCGCCCTGGCCTGTAAGACGCTCAAAAAATAAATAATGTACAAAAAGACGGCACAGGCAAATGGCGGAACAATGGATGTTGGCAGCTTTTTATTCCGGCTTTTCACAATCTGGAACAGATTCAATTAAAAAAGAAGATTAGTTCTGATATTACTACAAGTTTGTCAGTATGCGCAATAAAATGAATATGAATGAATAAAATGATAAATATGAGCGAATTAGAATCTTTATTTATCACATAAGAAGAAAGTTACAGAATGATATCACTACGAATTGCCTTATCTATTGTTTAAGAAACGTATTAATTTTCCTGTATTTTATCATCTGTTTATATGTTTTTATATACTTTTATAGAAATTAAGAGTACTTTTTCTCAAATTTCTTTCATTTTCTAGAACTTTTAATTCGTGAAGTTTTTGCGGAGGTTTTCACTAGAATAAAAACTGGAATGTGTTTATAAATAAGATTTACAGAATTGAAAAAATAAAAAGAAATTCATTTTTTTAAATGAACTGTATATACGTAACAAAAATTAATTGAAAAACGTTATTGAATAGCCTTAGGATGCAACATTCAAGCACAACAAGAATTTATTATTACAGAGTTTAATATTGAAATATCAAGCTTGATGATAAATGACTACTAAATGTTGTCACTTTAAAATGCAGTAATAATTTGACTTCCGTTAACAAGAAGATGCGCGGTTTCTCATTTTTCGTTTTAAAATTTCTTTAAGCATTTATGGTTATAATTAATTTCTGTTTGAAATAGCCAATAATTTAAGAAAACGCTGATAAACAAAACACTATTCTTTCTACATATTAGAACTAGTTTTGAACAAATAGTATTTATTAAAGCATAATAATTTTTGCTAATTTTCTAAGACTCCACATCCCTCTTCAGAAATGGCATTTAAGTTATAACTGTGTTTTTTCACAGACAATGTAATTTTTACAATCTCAGTGTAGTTATTGCTTCATCCATTAGTATACAAAAAAAAAAAAAAAAAAAAAAAAAAAAAAAAAGAACCGAAGAACGGAGATCAGTATTTTTATTTCTGCCTTTTCCCACGCTTCATAATTAAGAAGTGAGTCGTTAGATGGGTCTGTTAAATTTTAGGAAACCACTGGCATCTAATATAATAGCACCTTTTTATTGAATACTATTTGTATTGATAAAGAAAATTTACATATATTTTCCAAAACTAAAACTCTTGTGTATCTAATCTGCAAAGGATCGCGATTGACGCGAATCCAACAACTTCCGTCGCTTTTTGTTGGTCCCACCAATCGCGTAATTTCGGGGTATTCTAGTATCATTAACACAGCTGTATTTTTGTCAGAATGACTCATTTCCAAAAATTACGTATGAAGAATTCTAATTGAAAATCAGGGGCTGAACTGACATTAAAGTACGGTCATTTTAGGCAATGTATTATAAGGGAAAAAGGGCGAGGTGAAATCGATTTCAAAGAATCATGGATCATGGTAGCTGAATTTTAGTTCGATTTCAGCAACTGAAAAGGTTTGTTCGTATAAGTCAAGCAAAGGTTTTGAAGTGTGTCACTCAAAACTAATAACTAAAACTTAAAGTTATATAAATATCAAACTCTTACATAGATCGCCGTTCTTGGACGGTTCGGTGACTAGCAGAAAAGCCATCTGGCGTCCCGTACGCAAAAGTGTCGATTCGCCTCGATGTACTTTAAGACTCGACTCTATGTATACGTCGTCAGACGACCGGTGCTGCCTGGTGACGTATCCAGGTGGTGCGCGGCTCCACTGGAGGGTAATAGTGGAGGTTGAACCTCCACGACGTGCCCAAAGGTGGAGTCGACGTGTAGTGAGATTGAGTTACTCGGAACAGGGAAGCCGAAACGCCATGTATACGTCGTCTACCTTTCTCTTCTCGGATGCAGTACCAATTATTCTTTTCGGCGTAGCTGAGAAGCAATTTCGGTCAGACTGCTGAATAACATGTGGGTTCGATCATACTCGACGAATGCTTTTCAGCAAGTGTCTGGTCGGGTTATTATTACTTCAAGCTTGATGCTATCATACACGTTGTAATTTTCACCATCTGATGTTTCAACCATTAGCAAAAGTTGACGTAATGAATCCTTTAACTTTTGAAACATGCTTATTTTTTAAATTAAAACTCTCTGACCGTAAAGGCTTAGAATATTTCTTATGATATCTGAAGGAAGTGTCTTGAAATATATCAAAGGAATCAAGGCAATATATTAAAAGTACATAAATCCAGATATAAAGTACCAGAGCCATTTGGGCATTAAAATAAAGAAAATACTTCTTTCTCATGGCAATTTTGAGAAATTTGGGCTTTTTTTTTAAAACTTCCGTGCTGGAAAGTACTAGCATATCACTTAAAAATCTTATGTGATGTATATTTCAGCCATTGCTTTTTCATAGTTATACTTGATGTGAGTGGTATACATCATGCTGAAATGAATAAAGTCAGGTGTTTGTGAAGTGTTATAAATCTTTCTGAAACTTACGGCAAACTTGGCATCTGTCTTCATCGCTATTATCTCCACATCCATCTAGCCCACTACACAGGATGGCAGTGGAACGGCATCGTTCGTTATTGCAACGGAAACTATTCGCCGGGCATCCTTCGCCTGAAACAATAAGCCACACAAAATTATGCAGATTAATTGCTAGCATTTTTTTTAACATTTTATTTTGATGAAAGTTTCATATTTTTTGTTTCATAATTTGTTGAATATATGTTTGTATATGGAAAGAATTTGCAAATCGCATTTTAAATTATAAAATAAAACGCTAAACATTATGTTGATATTGATATAAAATAAAAGCATTTTGCTCAATCATTGAAGACAAAGCAAAGACGTTGCTGCTGATGTTAACATCTTTCATCGCAAATCTGACGATGGTAATAAGTTGTGATTGGAAGATCTGGCACAACTAGTAAGTTTTGAGTATTTTAAAAGTACGTTTTTCATCATTAATACCTAAAACCCACTTTCGCATATTTTTGACCAGTCAATGAGTTTAGATCACGCGGGGGACGAGGGAGGATATTCTAGAACAGGAAGCAGTACTGTTGCAAAGAATAAGATCTTTATTTGTATTAAGCAGTTTTTAAATAGTAAACTGCATATTAATGCAACAAGGTCATTTGAAAAGTACACGAGCTCCTTAATAATATTTTTGCAATACGTTTTTATAATTTTTTGTACTATAAATAACTTTTTTAAAACCATATATTATCTCCATTACAGATATTTCTCTTTAACTATTTTACATGTACACTAAACACTGCACAAAATGTAAATATAAAATAAATGATTATGATAAACTTTTATAGTAACATATAGCTTGCAACCATCTATGCTTCCTTTAAACAATTATTTAAAAAGGTAATTTTTAATAATATTTTGATACTTTTCTTTTAATTTTTAAAAGTTGGAAAGGATGTTGAAAACTTTTGAACTGAGTTCTTCTTAGAGGAGTTTGGCAATAGACTAAAGAAGAAAATATATCTAAATTATCCTCTACCGCCACTACCTGATATTAAGCAGTTCGGCTTTAAGTTATTCACTTTGTAATCTCTGTCTTTGAATCGCAAACATCAAACACGCTCGTGAGAAAAATTAAGAGAATTTGCAAAAAAAAAAAAAAAAAAAAAAAAAAAAAAAGTGTTAAACCAAAGGTAGTAATTATGCCGCCTACAAATTTTGCAAACATTCTAGGTTGAATACGTAGGCGTACCCATGTGTGTCTGCGGAGTGAGATGGAAAATTGTCGGTAGATTGGAAGCAGGCAAATCACAAGCGCAGTCACCCACTATTTTATTGGGTTATTTATATTATTGGGTTAATATTTATTCCACCCGATATTGCTCATGCCAAATTCAATTATTAAAATCTGTCTGTTAGGCTTTCCGAAATTCGACATAATGCGCAAATTATGTTATTTCTGCATACCACGGTTATCTGCATTGACCCTCCGATTTATCTGATCAAAAACCTGTGTAGCACATTTTACATTGTAGAGATCATAAGAATATAATTTCGCAGCAGAATTACGTTAAAAATAGCAGTGCTCTTATAAGGAATGAAACTACGGACCTTCCGATTGCTTGCCAGACGTGCTTCTCAATTCCACCACGAAAGCTCACGGTATAGACGGAGAAAAATGAATGTAACGTATAGTACATGAATGTTAAAAAGTTTCTGGTGGAAAAGAGTCTTTGATAATGATTATACACCAACTGAGGAATACTTTTAAAAATCTTGATCGGGAATATCTTAACTAGCAACATAACCTTGTTCCTTCTATGCTTTTATAAATTGATGTTGCAAGCCGTTAACAGGCTTCCCGGCATCCTGAATTAATGTGACACCTCAAGAGTGAAATGCAAGTAAGAAGCCGTAATTCTGAAGTGTTTTTAGAAGTCACATAAATAAACAGTGTTTGGTGCTTGGATTTCAACTCCCAATCATTCATCTTTGAATTAAAGAACCTACTTCCTGTTTAAAGAATGTTGAAATCATATCATACGCTAGGTAAATTTATTTATACCTTATTTTGAAAGTGAAAATTGTTTTAGTTTATTTTTCAGTAAGGTTTTCTTTATACCTTTCCACTTTGAAGTAAATGTGTGTATTAACTCGTATACAGTGCATGTAATATACTTTGAAGCTGCTATTAAAATTACTGTTATTTTATTATTGAAATTGTAGATACATACACGATTTAAATAAGAATATAGACAACATAAATAGAAAGAAAGGAAGTAAGAAGGAATGCATTACTTCCATCGAAGTCAGAAGATATGAAATACTTACATACATGTATAGTTAATATTTTTAATAATGCTTCCCTATTCTCTTCGCTGAATTAATTCTGATTAATTAACTTTTCGATTTATCGTTACCAATATCTACGAATTTAGATTATCACTTCTATCTCGGAATTTTAAATAACGAATAAGAACTTTTGTTTTAATGTATTAATTAGAATTTAAGGACCCTCAGAACAACCAATTTTTTTAAAAGAGTTATTTATTCAAAAATATAGCGATAGAGGTGTCCATATATTCATTAAATAGATGAAACCAATTTTTGAGAAAAACAAAACTTTTAAAGAGAAGCATGATCATTGCTTACAGATATCTAATACTGATGAAATGTCCTTACCTCGTTCGCATAATAAGAAACTTTCATCCGACCCATCATAGCAATCAGTGACTGCATTGCAGAACACATACTGGGGCAGACACTGGCCGTTGTTGCATCGAAATGAGTCCTTATCGCAAGGGATACCTGTGACAGACATAAAAGCTGGATTGAGAATTTTGATCATGATTTATTGTCAGTTTTTTAATGCAGTTCAGCTTCTTGACTTTTATTTTTACGTAGCCTTTGCAAAATAATCTATACAAATTGCTTAATTCCCATGATTTAGTTGGAAGCTGAATAAGCTATTATAAAATTAGAAAGGAACAACCTTAGATTGGTGTATATTTTGAGTAAAACTCTGTCGATTTTTAGGAAGATAAGACACACCCTCAATTTTCAATGTCATTTCCTTCTTCTTCTGATTTCCATGGTAATAACAGTTGCTATTATTTCAGAAGAAAGAAATAGTTAGTAAGAGAATAAACCACGTTTATTTTCTTAATAAAGCTTACGTTTATCATAAAATGTAATGAAAGGGAATAAATATAATAAAATATTTTTCACAGTCATAATGATATTCATTACTGATTGGTGATAACCATTCATAATAATAATCATTATTGAATTGAAAAAGAATCCCTCATTAAAATTGCCATGAAATTACGTTTCTTGCCATTAACTTATTCCATATTTTAGCGACTGATTTCAGCATTCGAAAACTAATATTGAACATAACCTTTTTCAGACTTTTGGAACAACAATTTCAGTAACAATATTTACTACTTGTTCCTTTCAGAGGTAACTCAGAAATATAATACTTCCTAATGAGTGGTTAAGGTATGTTATGCGATAGCAAATATCGATATTGCCTAGCCATGTCTCATGCTGCACACTTAAGAAACGATTATGCCCACCACGTTTCTATGAAAAAATGTTTGAAAATGTAAAAGTCGTGCGTGCTTTCTTTATCAGCAACATGTCGGTTAAGGTTACAAAACTATTCACCGCATTTGCTGCCGATGATAATAGAGGATAGTAGCTTATTTCATATTAAAATAAAAAAGGAAATGATTTACAGTATCTAGTAGCTGTTGCTTTATATTACCTGTGTAACAGCGGGCTTCGTCGCTGCCATCGGGACATTCCCACCTTCCGTTGCAAACTGTAGACCTGGACATGCACGTTCCGTCATTGCACTGGAATGCTTCTTTCGGACAGTCTGGAATGAAAGGAACTGAAATCACGATCTTACATCTTAATGTAAAAGCAATGCGTGTCAGCTAGTTTTAAATAGTGAGCCAGTCGGTTATTTTATGGGCCACAGATGATTATTTTAATAAAATTTTCATGTTCGAATTTTCATTATTATTGATATTGTTTGAGCATCTGCATGCACAATGCTATAATATTAAATGACAATTTTACTTTAATTCTATTTAAGCCATCATCATTAAAAGTTATGGAAGGTGTTTTAGTCGTTAAGGATTCGAAAGCGTTTAAAAAAGTCAACTGCCACCATTTCAGATTTGTTTTATTAAACTCTACATTAATTTCATTTTCAGATTAATATAAGATTTTTGACATTTTTAGAATTAAACCCTGCTAGATGAAACAAAGTAACTCTGTACTAGGGAAATTCAAAGACTAATAAATCTTTGAATTCGCCAGTAAATAAGATATATTAGCCTACAATGAATGGTAAAAGTGGGAAATATTTAGAAAATGTCTGCATTGTGAATCTTATTCAAGAGGTGGCAATAAATGTTAGCATTTACCCATTAATTCTCTTTTAAACAATCTTTCGTATTATTTCAGGAAAGAAAGAAAAGGAAATTAAGAAGCAAAAATATATATCATCGGTGTTTAAAATAATTATTTTATGTTCTGCAATATTTTGCGCTTTTTAAAAATTTTTATAGCTTATTTAAGTTATACATAAACAGTACCTTGTGGCTGAAAAAGTAAAAGCTATTATTATAAACTTTTCAAATGCCTGTAATAAATGAACCGAATTTGTAATTACTCAGAACAGTCTTTAACTGACACTCAGTTACACATATTTTTAAAGCAAATAAGCAAGACTTTTATTTATTATATCAATATGATTTTTGTATTATTTATTTAAACATATATAAACTTATATTTTTATTAAGTACTTAACATTTATTCCAGTTTCTCACTTTTACGATAAAAAGAAATACGATAAGAAGACCGAAAATAACTTATTTATTGATGAAATGCTGTTTTATGATACGTAACTTTGGTACTTGCATGCTTAAAAGAATAAAATTATTCAACTTCATTTTAAAAATTTGGGAAATGTTTTTCAAAAGTTTAACATATTGTACGTACTGAAAGGTATGCAGTTCTCTTCGTCTGTTCCATCGGCGCAGTTCTGCTCGCCGTCGCAAACAAAATACCACGAGATGCACTGTCCGTTTGTGCACTGGAATGTATCATTCAAACATTCTAAAATATGAAACAGAAAACTGAATTATTCCACTAAACACAGAATACTTAAAATCAAAAGAATGCGAGATTTTTAAATATGATCCCACCCTTCCAAAAAGTGAATAATTTTTTGGCAGTACTTTACTTTAAATTGCTAAAAATATTCAGAAAAATTTAAAGAATAAGATAAAAATTCTCTCATGATTCCCCCCCCCTTTCACAATTTCCCCCCTTTTTCACTTATGTCCAACTCCTTTGTGTAACCTTTTTACGAATGGATCCTTGGAGCTACTTTGATTTGTTATGTCCAACAGATTATGGGCTAGCATCGTTTGTTATATATTGAGAAAAATAACTAGTCATATTTATTTTTTTCATGTTCAGATTTCTGTAAACACATAAAAATGTTCACTTTGGATATGGGTGTGTTTTTTCATATCATCGCAATCTCTGATTTTGCATCACAGAATGAATTTTGTCATTAGATACAATGTGACTGAAAAGTGCTTAGATAACTACAGAAGGCGGTCGTTCGCAAAATACGTAATCTACGAACATACGTACCGTACGTATACGCACGTTCGTAACGTACATACGAACGTACGTACCGATACCGTAATCTACGGTCGTACGCAAAATATGTACACGAACTACTTCGTACTATATTGTTGTACCTGAATTCAGTCAGCGGGAATCAAAAGATGGGCATACTACACATCCAATCAGTGAAGGCAGTAGGAAATTAACCTCAGCACAGAGAATGTGCAAGCTGGTTTTGCAAAAATCTGTCGTCAAGTCGAAGTTCCCAGCGTGATGTTAACACGTTCTCCAGTTTGTGCATCAGTGACATATATTCCCTAAATGGAATGAGTTTTCAACCATCCTATGAAATCCTAAACATACGTATGTCTAAAACATATTACATTAACTTAACTCAAATGTACTTTTTTTTTTTCAAATTCTGTCTGTAGCTCTGGCACAACTCAGCTGGTATTTGAGGCTACATGTTCTTATGTAAAAATGATTTTCTTCTGTCTTCCAGATCAGTTTCAAAAACAAGCCTAACAGCTTTTCAATCACTTTCTATTTGAATTTTAAATTTAATACGTTTTTGTGTCGGAAAAATTGAAGAATAAAATTTTGTGGAAGTTGCGTTTCAATGAGAATCTGGAACATTCAGATTTAGTAAATGTGAAACCGTTCATAAGAACCTTGAAGGTTAGTTATTAGAAGCATATTAATAGAAATGCTAACAAAGAAACTAATGTATAAGTTTTAATATCGTAATAGATGTTTTGAGAGAAAGTGTAACATTATACTACGCAAATCTATACATCTTGTGAACAGATATATTTATTTGTGGTATAAGACACAGGAAATATCAGATATTATCAAAAGGTTATGAGTTTAAATGCGATTCAAATTTTTCATATTTTAAACCGAACAGAACTTACTAAAGCTGAATGATGCAAGTTTAAATTAATTTCAAGAACACTTTCAAGAAGCAAACTCATTTATTAAAAAACACGCATGTAAATATCACACAAAATTACTTCTGGAGAGATCAGTGATAAAAGAACCATCAAATTCCGGATGAAAACTGAGTTCGGTACCCTCAAGTGTTTTGCCTGAATTTAATAACTGAATCTAAGCTACATAAAATTTCTTGAAAATAGTAAAGTTTACGGTAATACCCTAACTCTCCAAAATATCTATCACAAATATCATTGCTATAATAATCTGACAAGAATAAAAATGTATTAAATTTTTGGGTACTATTCGGTTTCGAGGGCCGTAAAAATATTGCAGCGAAATGTATGCGCAAAAGCGCCAAATCTAGCAAACGCGCCTATTTAACAGCGCGTCAAATCTAGCATACGCGTCGATTTCAGATTGAGTAAGTTTATATAGTTCTATATTTCTTAAGACGCCATTGAAATACTAGTTTAATTTTTAAATCCTTTTTAGATTTTAAATCCTTTTTTAATATCCTATGGATTTAACAATTTGGGAATTGCCCATGACGAAAAGTCGGCAATAGAATTTTGGGTAAAGGGCAGAATCACCCACTGCTTGACGCGTTTTTAAGAATTGCATATACTCGGTATCCATGTGCACATCGACCTATTTTCGCTTAAAAAAATCCTAAAATTGCACAAAAATGGCACTGCGCACACCCTTGACTTTATCTATGTACACATCGACCTATTTTCGCTTAAAAAGTAAAAGAAAACTGACCAAAATCCAATTGTTTTTACCCTTGTAAAAAGCGGCAAACAAATAAGTGAGCGATTCTGCACTTTACCGAGAATATTTTCAAAGAAAAGGCATCATTCATTATAGAAAATTACGTTTGAACAACAACGAGATGAAATTATGCTTTAGCGATAAGTCGGTAGCGAAATAGCGATGCAGACATCCATTCAGTTATGTTAAGCACATTTTATATAAATTATAATAATGATCTGAAATAGTTATTTACTCTTATGCTTCCATTCAGTCATGTTTAGCCTTTTTCATATAAATTATAATAATAAAAAAGTATTATATGAAATTAACCCTTCATCTAAATTAAAACATCAATCTTAGATAGTTATTTACTATTATACTTCCTTTCTTGCCGCAATTATTAGGTTTGCCGCAATTACTTTTGGCAGCATTGGCATCAACAATAGTTTGGCGATTTTTTACGGCCCTCGAAACCGAATAGTACCAATTTTTGTTTCCCATATACTCCCAATTTACGTGGCTTTTACGGTTTGCCAAAAACGGTGTGTTTTGGTTTATAAAAATAGAAATCAATTACCCTCTCACTTCCTCATGCCAGAATTGAAAACGGTATACACAATAACAAGATATAACTTTATTTGTATTAAAAATACGGAACTTTATTGTATTTATTCGCAAAGGCGACTCACGCACGAAGTGCTTGAAATTTGTGTCCATCTAAGCAGAAAATTTCAACTTACGTGTGTTAGCAGAGCTGCATTTAAGCGTATCTCGTTGGCATTCGCACCTTCCTTGCACGCAGATGGAGTAAGGATCTCTGGCTTGGCACTGGCTGGAGGTCAAGCATGGTTTTCCCAATGATACTGGAGTAACGGACACGAAACTGTCCGCAGGCTGACCTGTAGAAACAAGACGGGTGTTTAGTTTACATCAAGAGGGAAAAATAAAACATTAAAACATCTGTGTCTGTACTGTAGAAATATTAGGTTTTTTTTTTTTTTTTTTTTTTTTTTTACGGGAGGCGTGAAAAATGTGCATTGCCCTCACCGAGACTTGAACCTGGACCCCTAAAATACGCGCCAAATGTGCTACTGCTACTGTTACACAGCGAAGCACTCTGGAAGGAGAGAGAAAATATCTTATGTAGTACATAGGTACCCCCTTTAAAGGGCAACTGGGGATTAGGAGATCCAGTCGCCAAATCATGGTGGGAAAGAATTATTGTCCACTACTTTTTAGTTCGAGTGCCACTGTAGAATCATTAGGGTTTTTTGAAGTAGGAGATGTGAAAAATGTACAAAGACTCGAACCTGGATCTCTCGTATACGCGCCCAGTGTGCTACGGTTATACCACGAAGCCATGCTGGAAAAGGAGGGAGAAAATACCTTCACATTATTTTCTTCTTGTTAACACATTCACAGTTTCTTCAGAAATCTCTTAAAGTACTGCTTGAATTTAAGCAAGAGCCAGATGATATTCTTATAAAAAGTTTTTTTATAAAATATTTCAAGGAGAAAAGAAATATTTTAAAATTTTCCTGTTGATCGAATTATACCATCTCTGTGTGTGCCAGAGGTGCTATTATTCTCCGGAAATTCGCTTTTTGTTGGCATCACTTTTGTATTAGTTAACAAAAATTAAATAAAGAAGAGTCTATCTGCATGTATGTTCCTAGCATTGTGGAAAAACGACGGCACTGAATTTTTAATACGGGTAACACTCCACCCGATCATGAGAACTTTCAAACCTGAATTTTGAATTTGTTTTTAATTTATTTTATATCTTATACAAACAGAGCGAAATTCTGCACAAACTCAGCGATTTAAAAGCGAAAAGTGGCAACATTGTTCGAAATAAAACATTTTTATTTCCAGAGCGCCAGCATAAAATATTTTCATTTCCAGCGTGGCAAAATGTAAGATACTTAACTTTCAGTTTTTATCCACAAATTCGGATATTTGAAAGCAATGTGTTGCCATTGCCTAAAATGTAATACGTATTTTCTCCCCGCATCAGAGTGTTGCTATTTAATAAAGCATAACATATTTAACTTTCTGTTACTGAGTTACAAACCAAGTGATTGGAAAACAATAAACGTAGGTCTTACAATATTTTTTCTACTTTTTAATCTAATCAAATTGCATTAAAATCATGAGATGTCTAATTAGAAATATTAAATATTTTTTGTGAAATTGTATCAGCTGGGTTCATTAAAATTCTTATATACATTTTTCGTTTCTATCATAACTCTTTTAAGCGGCTAGTTTTCAAAGAAGTAATACAGCGGATAAAAAAAGGTATGGCAACTCTTAACACCCTATCGAGAATTTCAAAGATGTGCTGTTTTTAAATATTTTTAATTTTGTCATTGAATTGTATGTGGCGTTAAGTGCGAAAACGCGATGCTTAACAATAAAGCTGAAAAGAAAAAAAAAAAGTGTTTACAGAAAGGAATTCAAGAGCAGGTTGGTAACCTGCAATACTCATGAAAATGCTCATGATACAGCAGGGGAGAAAAAACTTTAGCAAATTGTCCAGTTTTATGAATCTGAACCCTTTCAGATTTTTTGTTCTTTTTCCTTTTCAGTCCAAATGGACGTTAGCCCGAAGGGCTATTAGAGTGTTAAGTGTCCTATTATTGTTTAATTAACAAAATGTATTAAAGTTATGAATATACATTCAGATTGCAAACTGACTGTGTGGTAAAACTGACGTTAGCCCGAAGGGCTATTACAGTGTTAAGTGTCCTATTAGTGTTTAATTAACAAAATGTATTAAAGTTATGAATATGCATTCAGATTGCAAACTGACTGTGTGGTAAAACGGAACGCGTAATAATTTGCATAATGGATTCATTTAGCATTCCCATAAAGGCAGCTTATAGTATAAGGCGTGAATTCTTGAGAAAGCAGCTTAGTTATAAAGCAAGTTCAGCCACGCTGCTGGTTTTAAATGTAAGAAAACAGAACTCCCAGCTTTTATTAATCCTAAGTTTGTTAATCCGCATTCTATTTCGGCTGTTAGAATTATTAACATTTTCCATAATGCATATGTATGTAGACTTGTTTCTAGAATATTCATCATTTATCTTTTAAAAGCATAAATACCATAAATTTATTATTAATGAATCAGGTATTTTTAAAATTTCGAAATATGCCAAATAAGTTGTAGAGACATTAGGTATTTTTAGAAGCTGATGATATCACAAACAACAGACGTGCACAGATTTTAATAGTATAGATTTCTGTACCCTTGATATTGGATTTATTACAATTAGTTTATCTCCAAACATTAAAATATTTTAAGTAACATAAAAATTAAATACATTTATTATCATGCATATGAAATTAAAGTATTCACTGCATGCATCAGTAGGAACAAACAAATCATTATGTTTAGCTGATTTGTTTCCAAATTAGAAAAGCAATGTATGATTAAAATTTTAAAAAAAAATCGTATTTCCTTAAAAAAAATATTTTTAAAAAATTTGGGGAACTTCAAATTCGACTTTTTTACATAAAATTTAAATTAAATGTAATTTTTAAAGGTTTTTATGTGAAAAGCTGACCATTTTGTACTTACACAGAATTTGAATTTTACATAAACTCTGTATGGTCTGTATGTTATAACTCAGTGTTTAAATTTTGAAAAGTTTTGAAATTCTGACCAATTGTTTCACAAATATATTTGTAAGTTAAAATTTCTATGTATGTTAAATTACATATTTAAGCAGAACTTCATAAATAAATCATAACATTTATTGAGACAGTTAAAAGGGAGAAATCATAATTTTCATATTTCAAATTTATTTGTAGTACTAAAATTTTTTATGTCAGAAGCACTATAATTTTTCATTGCATACAAACCTAATATTTACACAACTATCAACTTCAAATTCTGATCAACCAGTTAACCCTATGGCTCCAAAAAAGTAGTCAGTAAAAAAAGTTTGTTCGTCACATGGTTAACATATTGGTAATGACAGGTATGCCTTGAAATAACAAAATTTTTAGAGAGAATTTGGTGGTTACACTCAATGCCTCTAGGACTATACATCTTAATTTATTCTCGAGGATTGCTGTAAAAAAAAAAAAAAAAAAAAAAAAAAAAAAAAAAGAGTTCTTATCGTTCAAGCAGTTGCTAACTGTGCAGTGCCATTTTATGCGATTTTATGGATGATCAATTTTGGCACTGCACAAACCGCATCGCAAATATCTCCCATATATTGGCATATACGCAGCTTCTTGTTGGCGAATCTCAGATGGAACAAAACGATTATATTTTAAGGCACATGTGTTGATGTAATCATCACGTTTCATCATTTTTCCTGCTTTTCATCCACTTTTTTCCTGTTTGCATAGTGCTATCAATCCTTTTACTACAGAAATTCGAAAATCTTTCAGTCGTAAGGGTTGATCTCCACTTCTCTTAGAGAACAAGATGTATGAATTTGTAATTGTCACGTCAAAACACACAGAGCCACTAATGTTGAGAAAATAACTTATCAGCCACTGCAGGAGCAATATTGGGATTTTAAAAAGCAAGGTAATCGCAAGCTATATATAAGTGATATCACACCAAAAAAATGCCAATATTAAAGAAACCCTGAATTTATCTTGAAATTTCCACGACACACCAGAAGACGGCATTCTATGCTACCTATTTACTCATATAGCTGAGCAAGAAAACCGCCGCTTAAATTCAATAGAGTTTTAATATTGTTATTGTTAGATTGTTAAATTTCATTGTTAGATCACAAGGAGCGAAAGGGCAGAGCGAAATTCTATTCGCAAGCAGTAAAATGCAGATATTTGACATAGAATCTTCAATTCGTCGTCACTCGCTGAAACGTAAACGTAAGCAAATCATCTAGCTCTTTAAATGGCAAAAGCTTTACATTATTTTTTACCATAAATTGGGCATTAGAGCCACTTTTTCATGAGGTTCGTTTTAAATTACTTAATAAAAACCAAATTTTAATATAAAAACATAAAAAAATTTCGAATTTTTTTTATCAATTTAAAGGTATTTGCCTCTTAACGGTTTGCTGTAGTGTAACCATTTTAGTTTGGGAGGGTTATTACTTCGTTCACAGCTTTAAATTTTACACCGGAAATTTAAAACCGGAAAATATAATTTAATTAATCTGTAAGGAAGCAGTTAATAGTAGAGACATAGAGTTTAGTTTAAATATTTACTTGGTTTCTCTTCTTCAATTTCGCAGGTCATTCCATTCCTTGAAGTTTTGAAACCCTCTGCACACTGACATTTATTAGAACGCTTGCCTTGTCGGCTGCATATTGAGTTAGGAGTTGCATGCTGACAGTCTTCATCTATTTCGCACTCACCACCAAGATCTGAAACAGGATATAGACAATCGATCAAAAATTGTTAGGAATTCTAGAAAAAATTACTTTTATGTTATTATAAAAGGTTCGTTTTAAAAAATTCGATTCCTCAAACGTGAATCACATATTTTGCTTCTTAAATTACACACTTATAAAATTCTTAAATTACACACTTATAGAATTCTTGTCTTGAAATTCGTCCCCTCCCCCCCAAAAAAAGGTGTAAAAGTTGTCAACTTGTCTCTATATTCATTCTTTGAGAGTCCTTCATTGTCTAGCTTATATACGTGACAAAGCTGCTTAATAAGATCAGAGTATTAACAGAAAGAAAGACCTAAAACCAATCTGAAATTTATTGAATTTCACATTTTCCAGGAAAATTTTACATTGATTCTGAAAAAATAAAACTTGAAAAAGTTTGACTCTCGTACGACAAAAATTGTCTGGGACATTTAATTTCAAAATCTGTAATTTTTTATGTCATTTTCGACTTGTCGTAAGAGATCGACAAAATAATTTAAGCAAATAAGTTTAAATAAAGTGCAGCAGAAAATGTGTATAATTTAATAGGCTGTACGAGGAAATCATGTGTTGACAACATGAGATTTCCTTTTCTAATGAATTCATTTTAAATCAGTGATCTTCAATTTTTTTCGAGGTTGAAGCTTTCATGCAAACCCTCCAAGCGTTTCGCAAGTCAAAAGCAGGACCCGAATTTCGGAATATCATGTGTATTCGCAATATCTAAAATATTGAACAGTTTTATTCCCAGTGTTATTGTTGTCTGAAATAATATGAAGCAAGTCTATTTTGTAATAAAATTATAACGATGAAACGATTTTCGTTTCATTTACCGTATAAAGTATAATTACTATATTTTCAGTAATTTTTTTATTATATACTTTTCTGAGGAAGGCAGAAGTTCCAAAAAAAAAAAAAAGTGTGAGAGTTATATTGTTTTCTTGAACAGGTAAAGTTTGAAGACCACTCTTTCAATGCATTGATTAATATTCACTTTTTCGCAATCGTACTTTTAATAAAAGATTGCGGTGTTTTTAAGGATCAGACAGATTGGAAAATAGCATATTGTCTTCCATAGTTATTTTCTTCCAATTTCCTACTTCATTTTTAAATATATCCTTCGGTGTTGTGAGTTACAGAAGAGAAAAACCTTTAACTGTCTTCTCAAGGAAATAAGTAGCGATATAAGTAATGAATTGTAAAATGAGGCATAGTTTCAAAATAATGAAAATGAAATAATAATAATAATAATAATAATAACTTTACTTTCTTTAGTTTGGAGTATTGTTTTTCGGCATTAAGATTCAATTATTTTTTCCTTGCAGCAGGAAGGTTGGTAATAACAAACTTAAATTTTGAAATTAACTTTTCAATAGGGATTTATGTAAAATTAATTAAATTTTTTGGGGGAATTCTTGTTTTTAATGTCATTGTCCTTTTAGTCTTCTTATTAGCATATGAACCATTCTTTCAAGTGTTCGTCAGCTGTCTTAGATGAAGACCTTTCTTGATATTTCCCTTTTGATTATTTAGCTAATATATACTATGTATATATCTCTCTATATATGAAAAAGACTTAGCAATATTGATGGCGTAGCACGTAGATAGCACAGAACGTAGAATCCGTAATGAACAGCAAGAATTTTAATTGCGTAGAATGTTGATCCATAATGAATAGGAAACTAGGGCAACCGAGGAAGTTTAAATATTCATCTTTGGTTAAAAAACATTTTGCGGCCACAAACAACTTGGCACACTACTTGTGCCTATTTCAAAAAGGTTAAAATTTTTGATAGCTTTGCAGAATGAAGAAAGCAGCAGGTTCAGCTAGGCCGAAGTGTAAAAAGCAAGTACAGTTGTGTTCAGGATGAAATCTTAATTCAGAATGAGATAGTTTTGGTTCTCAATGTATTTTATTTGATAATTAAGACTGCTGTAAAATTATTATTGGCTGTTTTTTGATACGTCTTCAGTATTATGTAATAGTCATATAACATGGATTAGTCTCGAAATGACGCAGTGCAGAAAAATATTACTATTTTTAGAATAGAAGGGGGAATACCAAATTAAGCATTAAGGGGATATTGCTAGTTTAAATTATAATTTATCTTTTACACATACTTTTATCTTACATATTTATATGCATATATATATAAATGAATGCAGGCACTGGATTATAAAATTTCAGAACACTGTTATCAAGTTGATCCATCAAAATATCCAAATATTTATCTAAAGTTTAAAATGGAAAACAAAAACAGCCCAAGAAAAGAAATTTATATTGATAGATCAAAGCAATATAATGAAGCAATAATGCAAACACACGTCATTTATACTTTTCTCACAGCTCGTATTCCTAAAGACTTGACAAAACTAAAATTTCATTAAGTAACAGGTTCAGTCCGCATACATAAATTAAAGTCGGACAACTTTTGTAAACTCACATAGTCAGATTTCTTAGAATCTCACGCAAAAGGGAATGCTCCAAACAGATGTTCTTAGTAGTACATAAAACACTGAATAAATGACTGCATTTTTTATTTCTCAAGGAAAACAGCATTACTTCAAGATGTTTTTAAATCGCAATGCAGTATATAAATGCAAAAATGGAAAGTTTTTATTTTGAAATAAATTTTTATGCGATTATACTTCAAAATAATAATGAATATTCTTAATATCGAAAAAAAAAAAAAATGCGGTGAATACGTACGTGGGTAACATTCGCCATCTGCTGTGAGTAGAAAACCAAGTGGACATTGGCACTTGCCGTAAATCCTCGGTATGATATACTTGCAGTAACTGAATCTGTTTGCCATTTGACATTGCCGATCGTTCAGGCAGTAATCATCAATTGCAGCAGCTGAGAGAAAAGAGCAGAGGGCTATATATTTATATACAATACTAAATCATACAGTTTTATAGTAAAAAAAGGATATAATTTTTTTTCCTTCATAGAAGTAATTTTTCATCATATGCGAAATCTTTTTAACAAATCTTTAAGCATTAATGCAGCTACCGGTCTTAAAAATGTAAGGTAGATTCTTAAAATATTTGTAATTATGATAATCAAAAGAAGGTACAAAATATATATTTCGGTAAATAATTTCATACACTTATGTTAGTATATTTTTGAACATTTAAAGGCCAGATTTTGTGCATTGTAATAATAATAAATTTCCCTGTTTTTAAGATTCCAAATTGGTGATTCGTGAAATGATAGTAATTGTGCCAAAATTGATTACTCTCATTGTTCACAATGATTACATAATGAGAGTAATTTTTCCAATGTAAGTAATGTAATGAGAGTAATTTTGCCAATGATTGTAATGAGAGTAATTCTGCCAATGTAATTTGGCAAAATTACTCTCATTGTGCCAAAATTCGTTCCAATTTTATATTATATTTGCCTTATATTTTAAGTAAATGTTTACATTTTAGTAATTTTAAGTAATTGTTTACATTTTAGAAATTTTAAGCAATTGTTTACATTTTAGTAATTTTTTTACATTTTTAGTAATTTAATACTTCCTTTCGTTTTAGTCTTGTGGTACATGCTGAAGAGATAAAATATTCCATTGAAAAGGATTTAATTTCTATTACCCCTTTTTGGTACTTTTCCGTTTTGCCGGCGCAGGCGATAAAGTCGCCAGTAATGGTACAACTGATGCCAAACGGAATATCCTCACTGGTAGCCTTTTACGTCTCATTTTTAAAACAAATCGCCGCCATTTCTTATCAGATTGATTGTCTCTTTCAATACTGGCATACAATTACATATAATTTTTACCAGATAGTTCAATTTTATGCCTTAAGGCCATTCGCGGTAATTAAGTCAATTAGGATTAAATCACACCGCTCACCCGAAGGCGCAAGTATAGAAAAGGCAAAAGTCAAGAGGTAAATTCATCAATTCTAATGAGAATGCACTGAAGAAGAAAAGCACTGCAGTTTTACATAATTTCTGAGTAAGCTATTCGTACGAATTGAAATAATTCTTGCATTTAAACTTGTATTGATTATTATAACAACTAAGATTTAACTTGAAATTAATGTAAATAATTACTGAGAGAATTAGATTTTTGTAGCGTAGTTTACGTGGGAGGAGATCACTTGGGGTCACGTGATACGAACCGGCGACTCAGGATGTTGAACCATGAAAGCATAGTAAATTCTTAAAATTAATATCTTTTTACAAATTTACCGTCTTTATTTATTGGCTTTTTACAAAATTTTAAACGCTATTAAAATGTTCATGCCTTCAAAGTAAAAAATTCTTAGAACTAACATTTGTTAACATTTTTGATGCGCATACTGTATGTTGTCGCCAATAAAGTCTGCTTGGCGAGATTTGCGCCGGCGAAACGGAAAAATATCTAATTTTTTCTATTACCTTTTAAAGAAAGTATTTAAAAACGTTTTTTCAGAATTACATCATTAACTTAGTTATGTCATCGGTTTTCTTATTTAAAAGATTAAAATAATTTTTTTCGTCATTATATCCATGAATTTTAAGCAAAATATTATCAAAAGAAATGAAACATTTCTTTAAAATGCGTTCTGTAAACTTTATTATACAAGTAATTTTTTCATCGAAATGGTGTATATGTATTATTTTCACGGTGTAATATGTTTTATAGTGCAATGTTCATTCATTTATTTCGGTAGAAATTTTGCGCAAAATATAACGAAAAAGTTAAAAAAAAAACTCTCTGAAATCTGCAATTAATGACCTGTTCATTTTGCTTTTTTCTGAATTTAGAAATCTAATTTTAGAACAGTAATCGGATTTTAAAAAAGAAAAGATTCCGATAATACAAATTTACATATAAAAACAAATTTTCCAGAAACTGCATGACGTAATGATTATTACAGTCTTATTTTTAGATTGATATTAATAGCAACAGTTTTATTTTTATCCTTCTTTTTTCTCCCCTCATTTCAGAAAATATAATTTAATTAGATGGTAGAAAATTTTATGATGAACGGGGGGATGACCTCTTCGTGTGGACAATGCATTTTTTTCCCTTTAGTTCCGCTATTTCATTTTTGTTTTCCAACAGGAGAAAAGTGAGTGGAAAGACTAATTAGCCTCCAGAAGTCAAACTCAGAAAAGCAGAAACAGTGGTTTTATTCAAGGTTGGATGAAACATGACCCTGGAGTTAAAAAAAAAAAAAAAAAAGTACTTACGCGGAAGGCACTTGTCTTTACGTAACGGCATGAAGTTTTCTTTGCACTGACAAAGTTTGTGCTCGCCGCATTCGCTGTTCTTAACTTTGATCTGACATTGTTGGTCGACGGCGCATCCGTAACCCAGGAGCGAAGCTGTGGAATAACAAACAGAAGCACAGATATAAATCAACACGAATGTAAAATTAGTTTCCAGTTATTCCATGCACACTGATAACACATAAAATTGAGCTGAAAGCTTCAGAATCTTCGTGATTCGTATGTTCAACCTCCTTTACATTGCGATGAAATGCAAATCGGCTTATTTTTTAAGTGAACAATAATACTTTTTTTCACATGCCATCATGTCAGAATACAAAATTTAAACTGGCAGAAGACTTAACACGCTGTTTGTTTCTGCCCTCTACACCTCCCCGTCAGCGACTACATCTAACCCTTGCCAAACCTGGGGGTTATGTCATTAATATATTGCGAGTACGACAAAATCGTGTTCCCCAAAGTTAACTTCTATGAGAAAACAATGTGATAGGTATAACTCAGATTAAGGAAGTGTATATAATTTAAACAAACATGAATATTCTTGTTATTAAAAGAGAAAAACGAAATAAATGTCAGTTGAAAGGATTTTTATTGCAGTATAATACGATCCCCCCCTTTAACTCGCGATTCTTGCTCAGGAATTCTTTAAAATATTCACGGTAATGAGTACAGAGTTTTTCTATACCTTTCATAGAAAAGTTTTCTTTCTTCAATTGAGTCAATCTCTATTACCAAACGTTCCCGTGACTTGAAGAAACAATTCCTTTAATTTCTTATAAATTAAAGGTGCTTTATTTTCTGCTTCAATATCATTGCTTTCATCCCTGCATCCGTAACTTCTCGATTGTCGTTTCTCAATTAATTTCCAATTTCTCGATTAAATCTTTGAATTCTCGTTCTTCCACATTTGAAATCCATTCGCCGCCAGTTGCTTTTGCAGTTTGCGCCCTTTCTTTGGCTTCATTTTCAATCCTTTACAATAGTTGATAGCTTTTGGCCACAGTAGATACCAACAAGCTTTCAGTTAGCTTTCAAGTTAGCTTTCAGTGCTGATGAATGAACGTTAAACCACATATGAATGAAATTCTAGCGTTGAGCATATTAAATATAAAAAATTAAGATAAAGTGTTTATCCAAAATCGCGTTCCGCAAATGCCCAATCGGCAAGGATTTACAGTATTTTAAGTTTCAGTCACTGGTTGTTTTGAGACTAGTATATTTTGAATCAGCGGCAACGCAAGGAAACCTGAATTTCTGAGCCTCATTATATTTGTGCGAATGTTTGCATACAGAGTTGAACCTCTTGTTATTTCATCTGGCCATTTATTCTTCTGGCATATTTTTCAATAAAACCAGAAAATTGGAAACTTAAATTTTAAAATAGGAAAAATTTCAAATTTAGATTAAGTCTAATTTTATGGAAAAACATTTATGTATTTCGAAGAAGTCTGGTACGGTATCATTTCTGGAGAGATTCTGGAGCAGTGTTATGGTTCCTTGAGCAGCGAGGAAAATCAATTTCTGGAAGCAAAGGAACAAACGACAGATTTCCTCCATAGTCACAGAGCTTTTCCATAAATATATCTTTACTCTAAATCTGAATTTCGCCTAGATTTATAAAGCGTTCTAATTATTAAAAATATGAAAAAAAAAAGAGATTTAAGTTAGACCGGAATTTTTATTTTGAAAACGCCAAGGTATCTCCGTCGAATTTCCTTAATTCTGTATCTATTTAGACTATTATTTAAATATTTTTAAAATTTGATCTTAAGGAACACAGTTTAAGATTTTTTTACAACTATTCCTTTCAATCAAGTTAAATTTTTGCTTTAAACTAAACATGACATATTTGAGGTCACTATCAAAAGCTTGGATCTTGCAAATTTTAACTTCAGTAAACTAAACTAAGCACGGTGGCACAAACAGCGCTGAGAGAGCCATGGTCGGCAATGCCATAGCTCTCTAACCTGCTTTCTAGGTATCCTACCATATCTGCTTTCTAGACCGTGGGCCGCGGGGTGCTTGTGCATCTTAGCTTGGACAAGCGGTCAGCTTATCGCAGGGTCCCCGATGTTTGGTCCCCAAGCGAACTTGGTACTCATTTCATCGACCCGCTCCAGAAACAAGAGGCTAAGTCAACCTTGCCCAGGTCCGGGGATCGAACTCCGGATCTGTGGTGCTGCTGCGCGACGCGCTAGCCACTGCGCCAGCGAGTTTTCTAAAGTAGTAAAATATTTTAGCTCAGATTTATGAGAAATAGATCTATATCTATACAAAATCTATATGTACTCGTACAGAACGATTAATTTTTTGACACTCACTAAAAACTTTTTGAGAAAAAAGGGAGAATGTAATTGCTGCAATTTCATGGCACCTCAGTCTCCTAGCGTAATGCCCTCGGGGACGCTAGGAGAGGACGTGTATTTGCTAGCTCTTAATATGACCAATTCTGTATATAATGTAATTTTCTGAAGAGAATTTAGACTTCCATGTATTTATCTATGTTAACTCTAGGAATAAGCTCTTTTTTTCTAGGCTTGAGTTGATTTAAGAACCTGGCAAAATATATAAAAATTCATGTACAGTTACTCAATGGTCAAATTATGGTTCGAAAATTATCCTCAAGATTGAAAAAAATTTAATTATATACTCTATTTGTTGAATTTAATTTATGCGTTCTAAATAAATATAGATACATTCTTAATTTTTTTTATTAAACGCAAATTTCAAACTCTCTTTTAATATTAAGATAAAGTTTATTATTATTATTATTATATGATGGATTCAAGTGATTCGGAAAACTTTTAGGATTCCAACTTAAGAAAATTTAGGGTTAGTTCCACGTCTATTTCAAGCGTAAAAAATTCTAACCAGAATTAGTTTGGAATAGTTTTAAAATACAGACTGAATGATGAAAATCCCATTAAAAAATCTACCTTAAAAAAGTGAACTACAATTAAAAAAAAAATGAAATATATTTGACTTTGAACTTATAAAGCTAAAAACTAAAATCGTAATTTGATCTTAATTAATTTTGAAATCTTTTGGATTTTTTAAAAATTTTAGTTCATCACAGAACGTCCTTGCATTGTTATCACACAATAATCCTTGCTGATACACTATGAATTACGTTGAATGATTTTTTTCTCATCGTTTTGAAGTTACTCCTGTGACGTAAGCATAAATGAATCAGCAAATAACTTGCGGCAGCTATTATTGATGCCAATCATTCTTGCGAAATATCAATGCCATCTGTCGCGAAAATCTATCTTCCGTTAGTCTTTTGTTCTTCGCGTTCAATGAATCTTAAATGAAAGGTTAATTTACCAGGAAGACACCAGGTGTCGTTGAACTGGAAGTGATATGGTTGGCATGTGCAGACCCTCTTGTCCCAGTCGCAATGGCTGTGATGTAAGTGATGTAAGCACTCGTATGACGATCGGCAAGGATCTCCCAATCGGAGTTCTGTGGGCATGATATCTGAAAGAACGGAAATTTAATAAAGTTAAAAGCATCAGAAACAAATGTGCTCGATATGTTTTACTAGGAAAATATAACTACTACCCGCTTCAGCGGTAGCCGCTTTAAATAGTTACTATAAAGATGAAAATAAATATGATAATTTTAATGAGTGCATCTAGTTAATTTAGCAGGTCAGTCTAATAATTAAATGGAGATGAGGAATTGCGTTTACTGCTTTTAAACCGCTAAGTTTGTTAATTTATATATATATATATATAAGCGAAATACCACTGACTCAGCACGAGATCTCCGAAACTATACACCTGATAAACTTGAAATCTTGCATAGTTCCGCATTCCACGATGTAGAAGCGCACTAAGAACGGATTTTACGTAAATCATGTCCAAAATGGATTTTTGTTATACAATAGAAGTTTCTCATATGTTTGGTTTTCAAATCCAAGTTTAGAATTTTCTTTTATTGTTGCCAAAACTAGATTATGAAATACAATGTTGCCAATGCATGCATTTTCCTTTAAAATTATTAAACTGGTAAATAAATAACTTGCATCTATACAATGAATACAAACAACATTTAAATGATAAGATTCATAATAACATTTATATTTAACTGTTATCATAAGTTTCATGACAATAAATGTTATTATTAAGAGAAATAAATTATTGTGATGAAAATTAAAATGTTTTTATTTGTAAAAATTGCCATACATAAAAAGTCAAGGACAAATAATTATAATTGATTAAAAAATTTGAACAAAGATAATAACATTTATTTTCATGAAACCTATGTTAACAGTTAAACATATATAAACCTTAGTTTTTTTGTTGGCAATTGTTCGTGGTGTAGGCTTACTGGAGATCCCGCCACGTTAAATAATGGGGGCGCATCCCAATACACAGTACCTCATGGGTGATGTGGAAATCTCTGTAAGACAGATTCACTGCCTGGCACTATATTTGACTTTAAATTAAAAAAAAATACATTAATTATCAATTCGAAATTAGATATTTGGTTTATATAAGAAGTCTAGGTTCACATACAAATAGATAGTGTGCCCAGCAAAGCGAGTGGGTATCAGCTAGTGAGTAATATACACATTAAATATGAAGAAAAATTAAATATCTTATGTATTGTGGAATGGCAACATATTGGCGCGTGGAACGTAAAGTGTTTTGTTTCGGGCAGTGGCAATACATATCTTTTAAATCGCCGAATTAGGTGATTGAATTTGAAAGAGAAATAAATATTTAACGCTTTGCTGGGTCAAAACGTATTTATTTTCCATCGCTGAGCCTTCTGAATAAATTTGGAAACGTATACTATATGTTAAGCTCTGGTAAGTGGCAACGCATCATTTCTAAAGCGCTGAGTATGTTAATCAAAAGTTTATAGAATTAGTGGGATATTAATAGGATAACGTTTTAAGCTTCACATATTTATCAGATACAAATACTCACATATCAACTAAAATATTTAAAAGTATTTGAAAAATTATTATAATTTCTTTGGTAATATTAATAACAACAGTTGAATAGCGGTAGCGTGACATGATAACAAAACATGATCAGCAAAATCCGGAAGTGATCATGAATGAAAAATTTCCTAAGCACCTCGCCAATTCCATGTTTTAAATAACAATGAACTTTAAGAAAGTACCACTTCAGAAGGTCGAATGTAATACGAAATTTTGGATTATATGTTATTAGGCCATGTGTAGCAACTGGTTTTTCTAATTTTATAACAATATAATCAAATGTTTGCCGCTTTGTAGTTTTATTAAAAAGTGACTTTTATTGGGCAATTAAGTAACATACAATTTAATTGGTTTTTAATCAAAGAAAATTAAGTGTTTGCAGTATATTTAAAATAAATACTTTGAAACGAATATCATAGTTTTATTTTGTTCTGTGTTATTTCTAAAATATCAACCGATCTAAATTCATCTTGATCTGTACGCGTATCCCCGCGATATTTACGTATTAATTAGCAATGTTCGTTCAAATGCAGTAATATGCCATGTTGATTGCTACAAAAACTGTTGTGGGCTTCAAGTAAAGTGCCACCTCCGGTTACCCATTAAAAATTGTTATGGGCTTCGCCATTTTCGATTGTCTAGTTTTAATCAAAATCTAATCAATATTTTATATGAATACAAAAGTTTAGCCATTTTACCGTCCCTTTGTCATTTACCGTCTTTTTCTTTTCTGTAATTCGGGTCCGAATAACAGAGAAGGCTTGGATGTTTGTAACTGTATAGTGTCTTGGGCATGGGACTGTATAGTGGCATGGTGACACCTTCTGTGATTCGGGTCCGAATCATAGAGAAGGCATGGATGTTTGTAACTGTATAGTGTCTTGGGCATGGGACTGTTTAGTGGCATGGGGAGACTTTAAATATATGTCGAGCCAAAAGTCTTATCGAGAGATTGGTAGTAGGGAAAGAGGGGTGCGAGACCCTCGGACTCGTCTCTCCGGGTTTTCTCCATTACATTTGGGAGCGGAACTGAACTAAGTCCTACTGTCACCTGTATGATGCTCAAGGCGCTTGTGAACGGCAGGCGCAATCTTTCTCTCCTTGCCACGATGAATTTCGTGGGCTTGTTCTAATATGATTGTCAGACAAGTGAGATAAATCACAACAACAACGCAAGAAACGTAAATAAGAAAAACATATATTTTTGGAGGTTTGGTATAAAAGTTATAGTGGCCGAAAAGATTTTCACACGCGTACAGACACACAGGCAGACATACATCGCTGCAAAAATAATCAAAACGTGTTACGGGGACCCTAATTCGTGATTATTCACTGAAAACTCGCTATCAAATTTTTAGACCGAGACCTTTACTTTTGTTACCTATGTATATAGGTTGCCGAGAGATAAAAAGGACACCAAATAAAAGTTTAAGAAAATTTCATTATTTTATTGAGTTTTTATTTTGGAATTTATCGACATCGATTATGTTACATAAATATATTAAAAGAATTCCGTGGAAGTATTTATTCCAAGTGCTGAATTCTGATCACGACTGTCATGCGAAAATGTTATGGATGATTGACTGTTTAGGTAGTTCTTCTGTTATCAGAATCTGACAAATGTTCGATTCTGAAAGGAAAATGTCAATGACATTAGTTGTTAATTTTAACTGTACTCAAGCGCCGCCGCCAACATTAAGTACCATTTAATGTTGAGAAATATTACAAATAAACAAAGTTAAATAACTGACGGCGTATATATTAGACAAAGAAAGAGGAAGCCTTCTTAATCCAAAGAGCGATGATCCCTAAAATGAGACAATCTCATTTCCATACTTGATGATATCGACTCAGAATTGGTCTTCATCTATTGAAGCCATCCGCATCAGTTCTCTAACTATATATACTTCCGGTCGACAGTGATGAATTACGGAAGACAAAAATTGTCTTAGTTCTACGTCTAATAAGAAGTTCACTTTTCTAAATACAAGTGACCCTTAAACAGCCGAAGAAAGCGCCTACATCAGTAATATCTTTTATTCATATTACAGAGTCATTGCGGCTATTATTCGGAAGCATAAAAAATTAAAAGATTTTGCAATAGATTAGTACACTGCGTCCACAAAAGTCTTTATTCGACATTTAGTTTCGCAACCGTTGGTCATAGACATATACTTAAAAAGATATTTTAAATGATGCAAAGATTCATGCGTTCATATTTTTTAATTTAAAAATGTATTTTTTAATTTATTTTTAATTTTAAAAAATGTATAAAATATGCAATCTAACATTTTACAAGTACCTCCAAGCTTATAGTTTTACATTAAAAAAATTTTGTGCTCGTTATAAAAAATAAAACTCAAAATGCTTAACTCCCGTAAAACAAAGATTATTGACCAAAATTTGCGATATTTGATATTATTTTGAATATTCGTCATAACGCCAACTTGTTTGGTTAGGTCGTGTGAGTTGCGCGCATATTAAATATCATTTTGAATTTGCTTTGAGGGATAGGTTGATAAATAAATTAGAATAATTCGAGACTGGTTTTTCCCCCTTTAAATGCCACGCAGTGATGCTTTTCTTCGATTTATTAGGGTGTTTAATTTATAATTTTATGACATTTGGTAATCCGAAAGAATTTTCACACACATAATTTATAAACTTTCAAAGTCTAAAAATACGTTACTAATATTCTCATGAAGTTTTATTACTTTAGAAACGCAATCTGGCAACCGTAAAAAAATTCATTAAAATACATATTTACACTTTTAATTAATGCAAATAATATTACGAGTTGCCTACCGGCGAATACTGAAGCCTTCAGCGTTTTTCAGAACACGAATGTTAATACGATTCTGTGAATAAGATTTCCATTTTGAAAAATCATATTAATGAATATTTTTCCTAATAACTTGTACAGAAATGCTCGTCATGGAGTTACTTAACATTGTAGAGACATTAGGTATTTTTGGAAGCAAGAGTAATGAAAAATTAACAACGCCTTCGCCGGGAATCGAACCACCGACCTCGGAATACCGGCCCAGTGTACTACACCACGAAGGCTTGCTAAAAAATAGGAGAAATACCTTATAATGTCAGAAGTCTTTTTCGAAGCAATATTTTATTCTCAGTTATGTACAAATATTCCATAACAAATGTTACGGGCCCTGAATTTGATTTCCAATATTTACATTAATTATTTAGATCAAACTTTGTCTCACGGGAGTTAAACCTTTCGTGTTTTAATTTTTACAACGAGTACAAAATTTTCCTTAACTTAAGTGTAGGGACCAGAAGAACACGTAAAAGTTCAATTTTGTACTTTATACAAAATTAAATTTTTAAACATAATGTTTTTTGTCGGCCGGATAGAGAATTTTGTGTCGGTGTATATTTAATTGTAGTAAATGATAAAATAGAGCAAAATTTCACGATTTCATGATATACCCAGTTATATTTTACATATGTACTTATTTCAAAGCATTTTAAAATATACTTAGAGGAAAAATCGGCATATGACACATTTTATTTAAGGATTCATTTTATTAAAAAAATTTATTTTCTTTCTGTTGAACAAGATGTATTAACTACTACAGTTTTTACCTTAATTCTTTGATTTTTTAGTCCTTTTCATCTCAACGTTGGGGGTATTTTTATTTCACTTCAAAGCAAATTAGAAAGTTCTGATTTAAGTGTGGTATTCGCTAGTTAAATGTTAAAGTCAGACCAAATACTTACAGAGCCAGGTTAAAAAGTGGCATGTTTTCGTTAACACAGGAACCTGAATATATATTCATAACATCGATATTCAAAAATGATACGATTATGAAAATTTATTAATATTAATATTATTTTTTACTATCGTCCGTTTCATGAATATTTGCTATTGGAAATATAACTTACAAGACCATTTGATATTCGATATATTTTTTTAAGAATAAAGATATGATGTTTGAATGTATGAAATGATGTTTTTCAAAACATTTTACGTCGAATCACTTTAAATGTTACGCCGAATCACTTTTCAAATCGTTGCCACCAAACATTATCGCCTTGTATTATATTTAAAGAAAGTACAAAATGAAGAATCTACATGTATGTATGTATGTTTCTCGCATTGTGAAGAAACAACGGTACCTACAATCAGCAAATTTTGAATAATATAGTCCTCCACCCGAATATGAAAGCCCAAATTTGGAATCTCTTTTTTTTTTTTTTTTTTTTTTTTTTTTTTTTTTTATATATATCTTTTTCAAATTTTGTAAAACTTTAACGAATTTTTGATTAACAAACTCAACGATTTCAAAGCGAGTAGTGGCAACACTGTAGGGGAATATAACATTTTTATCTCCAGCGCGCAAGATTGTCTGTCGCAAATTCTAAGTTATGCTGTCTTTAAATATTTTTAGCACAATGTGGCGCTAGCCCAAATGCTCTTGAAACATGTATGTGTCGGTTAATGAAAAAAAAAAAAAAAAAAAAAAAAAAAAAAAAAAGGCCGTTTTGGCGTAATATAAAATCAGAAAGCTTCCAGGATATTGGAAATCTTAAACTTTAAAGAATATTCGACACCAGGAATCTTATTTTACACGAGTATACTGGAAATCTTAAGTTTTAAAAATATTTGTTATTAGAAACCTTACTTTCTACTCATATCTGTCATTGGAAATTTTGTGTCTTACGAATATTTGATATTAAAAAAGCTTACGTCTTAATATGAATTAAAAAGAAACATTTAAGATTAAAAAGATTATAAAGCTTACATCTTAATATGAATATTTAGTGTTGAAAATAATACTTTTCATTAATATTTGATAATAGGAATATTACGTGTCATGAATATTCATTATTGGAAAGTTACATTTATTAATATCTGATATCAGAAATCTTACTTTTTATTGAATATTTTTATCAGAAATCGCACGTTTTCTGAATATTTGTTTATCAGAAAATTTTATTTTTACAAACATTTAGAACTGAATGAAAATAATTTATAAATTAACATTTTTATTATATTTCTATATTTTGAGAAAACTAACAGATATATAGATTGATCCAAACGTTATTAAACTTTTCAAATATGATTTTCATTCTTTTTAATTTTCGCTGTACACTACCGTAGGTGCTATAGAAAACGGCAAGTGGCATATAACTGCATAGAGTGCCCAGAAATGCAAGTTTTTTAAAACAATGTATATAATGTATTGTTTCCATAAAAATTTTATTATGCAAATTTTATAATTACTATTTAGTTCACAGATAATGATCCAGCCATGCAGAAAAATAAAATATTTTATAATAAATGCTGAATGTGTAAACTATCAATATTAACTAAGATATTTGAAGACGAACTTTGTTCTTAGTCCGTCTTCAAACAATACTAATGATTGCCGGAAAGTTTCTATGGGAATCAGTGATACATTCTGTTGAACTCTTTTTCATATCGCTTGCTATTTGGGTAACTTCTGTGCATATCTGACTTCACGTAATCTAGCAATAATATTAAAAAAGTCATGTGATTTTAGGTGTGGAGTGTGTTTTTATGCTGAAAGTGATGGATTACTACTCCATTTTAATCAAACGTTCAGAGCAAGAAATACCATAGAATGATGTTTCTTCGCGGTAAATGAATGCTTGGCTTTCTTCCGGGTTAGAAATAATGTTGTTTCGTAACACGTCATTATAATGATGACTTTTGACAGTGCTGACTTTTGACAGCAACAGTTCAGAAACAGAACTAATATATCCAGGATTCCAGCGACATCTGGTAGAGATAATTCCATTTTTTAATAGCTTAATCTCAGCTAAAAGATAGTTACAGTTTTCCATAGCTTAAACCTTAGTGACTAAAACAATTATAGCCGCAAAAATTTAGAATTTGAATGCGTTATTTTATATATTTTCCGTGTGTTGCAGAGAAAAAAATATATTCATTAAAAATATCTTTGCCTGATAAAACGTATCCGCTTCGGAATTCTACGCAGATATTATAACTAGAAATGACTTTAAGAGAAAATATTTTTTTTGATTCTAATGAAATTAAATTTTAATCGCAATTTTCCAAAAGAGCATTATTTGTAAACTGTTTTCCAATCTAATATTTAAATGATAACAGAGAATTTCCTGTTGCCTTGAATTATTGTAAATACTTAAAACATACATGTAAAAGAAACATCGGGAGACCCAAAGATAAACTAAGCCCACAAAGTGAAGTCTCACATGGCTGGCCTTATAGTTTATTTATAGTCCTACAGTTCATGTGCTATAAGACCTTATAGTTCATGTGTTTTTCACTTCACTTGCTTTGGATTCGTTTTCTCTTGGGCCGCCCTGTATTATCAGATATAGGTATTTATAAACTTATTTATCAATTATTTATATTTAACAAAAACTATAATAACCATTATCATACACAATTGAAAATGCAATTTGCAGTCAAAACAGACCAATCATATTGGAACGGACTATATTAGAAATGCTGTGAAGAAAAGTAGTGCAAATATACCATTATGATTTGTAGTACTATGTTTTAGATAAGAAAGAGGAAGTTATAGTAATTAAAACCATCTGATATTGTTCTAATATTTCCGATATTTATCTTAAACCTGTATTTTCGTTTAATAAGATTCGCGATGTACCTTTCTGTTTAGCAGTTTCAAAGATGCTTCTCAAACATGACTTTTCGACATTACTTTAATTAGCAAAATAACATATTTTAAACCATGGCACAAAAAATAAAAGGTTTATTTATTTAGCTTTATTATTAGAGTTATTCCATAAGAGTTGTATGTACCAAATTTTTGAATCAGCGGTGACGTTTAAAAAATGTGTAAGTATTCAGAAACTTCCTTAACGTCTAGTTAAGTCAATATTTTACACACTTGACCTTCCGTCTTCTATGTTTTGCTTTGTATGAAAATATATAACAGTCTGACAAGGAAAGCACAGAATGCGGCAACAAACTATAAGTTAGGAAGGTGAAAGAAAGGTAGCAATAACGGCTTTGGAACCCGTTATCGCTAGGGGGAAAACTCATTATGACGTGATGCGTTTACTAAGATAAAATTTTTAACTCACCGAGGTCCAGAGTGTTGGTGCTTCTGCCTTCACTTGAGCCAATCAGACAGATGACCTGTGGAAAAAAAAAATATGTAAGCAAACTTGGATGCCAATACATTAAGATGTCAGAGATGCCAATTAAATGCGCATTAAAATATGGCGGAAGTGACAGTAAAATATTCACAATAGCTGAACTGTGTCTTAAGTGATTTTTGGTATTCACTAGTCACTAGTTTAAAATTTCTTTCCTGTATTGATGACTAATATTTTCAACTTGTTTGACCACAACTGCAGTATTAACAACGTATTTCTTGCAAAACAAGATACTTAAAATTGCAGTCATATCACTTTTTTCCATTTAAAGACTTTGTAAGATAGTATACACTCTTTTTAAGCTTTAATAGTTAGAAAAATGTAAAAGCGTATTAAAAAAAAACATAATTGAAAAAAATAGTGATTCCGATCAAGAATTCAGAATTTGAAGAAAAGTATTTATGATTGATTTATTATTGATATAAGCTTTTAATGCCAAGAAAATTTAATGTAGGGAATTATAAAAAATTAAATTAAATGAATATTTCATATTTTTGTATCAGTCTTAAAAATATTTATACTGTTTCCTTGTATTTACAAAAATTGGAATCGTTGCATGATTTTTATTATTTTGAAGAATAGATTTACTGGCGGGATAGCTTGAAACAGTTTTAATAGGCAAATTTAGTCGAACTCGCTTATAACGAACATGAACGAACCGTGATATTTTTCATTATCACGGAGTGCTCGAAAAAACGGGTTCTTAAAAAAATCATAAAAATTCATACATACTTAACATATTATAAATATTTTATTCATTTTTTATTTCTGTACAGTACAAATTAATTGTTATTTTGATTTGAACTGGCTTATTTTCTGTTTATTGTTATACTGTTCTTCGGAGAAAACTCATGACTCAAAAACCATCGTCATCTGCACCCCTGCCTTCGAGCAAAGTTTGAAGTTTTTCTGCGGATTCAGAAGCCACTGAGTTGGGGGTGGTTCAGCTTGAAATTCTTCACATTCGTCATTATCATCGCCGCTTTCATAATTTTTTTCATCTGCGTTAGCTTGAATTTCAGCTACAATATTCTTAGGTTTCTCGGAAGTGATAACACTGGCGTCAACAGATACATAATTTTCAAATACTTCTCTGTTTCATTTCCAAATTTTCCAAGTAGTCTACTTCTTTTTCCTTAATAATTTGTTCCACTTGAGAAATGTCCAATCCAGCCTTACGGAAGAAACTGGTAATGCATTTGATGTAAAGTTTGCCATGCACCGTTCATTAGACGTATCGCTTTAAGTACGTTTACATTAGCATTTGAAGGCTCTTCCTATTTTTTCTCTTCCATTAAGAAGCACAAAATTAAGTGCTTAGAAAGTTTGATTTAAAACTTCTGACGATGACTTGGTCCACAGACTGGATAACACTTGTAGATTTCGATGGTAAAAATTCAATACTGATCACTCCCCAAGATAAAAAAGGCCGCTGTCACGTATGCGCAAGATTTATGACTCGTCACTAACTTTCGGTTGGCTGCGGAATGTTAACGAAATTTTTTCAAGAAAGGATTAGCTGAGCTGGAGAGGTGGAAATCAATAGAAATTTTAAGAGTCACAAAACTATTGCTGGCTATAACCGAGGTTTCCTCGTTAAAAGCGAACTAAATTCCCATAGACTTCACATTATACAAACCAAGTACTTCCGATTTTCTCGTCAAATTCAGGTTCTTGTTAAATCAGGGCTCTTTATAAGCGAATTGTACTGTATTTTCTAATTAAATAAGAGTTCTGTACCTTTTAAATTTAGTTTTCAGGCTTATGAATGAAGAAAATTCCCGGCAATAAATGCTGTGAAATCGGTGCTGTATTTATGCTTGGATTTTCTTATAAAGCTTTTATAGTCTAAGAAATCAGATCAAGTCAAACCTTGATTTAATGAATGTCAGTTGAAAATTTTAGTTAAATTGTAAATATTGCTAATCCAAGGAACTGTCTTAATTAAATTTTAATCATGATGTATATTACAAATTGTTAAAAGTTTAGTTTGAGCGTAACAGTCACTCGGCTATTTTATGTTTTAAAAAATCTTTGATGTACAACAATTTCCCAATTTAAACAAATGAAAACATAAGTTAAGTCGAAGATATCGTTAAATTGATGTTGTGCTGTAGTTTCTTTGTAATTCTAATAAAGCAGAAAAATTGTAAAAGTACTTCAGAAGATTATTAGAAGAATTTTTTAAATATGGGAAATTTTAAAGAAATAAATATGGAGATTAAGGGTGTTCCTTTAATTTAAGAAAACTTATACGTAGCGTTTTCTCTCTATTTGCACAAATCGTACATTAATCATTCAAAAAATTTCAAATTTTGGATTACGAATACTCTAAATAAAAATAAAATTATTAATTATGAAGTACCAAACTGCATTAATAGATCATAATTGCACAGTGCATTTTAAAACAAAGTATTTAAACATTTTGAGTGATTATTAGTAATCTCAGTAATTTTATTATTATTATTATTGATCGTTGTTTTTGTTGTTGTCTTATCCATGGATTTTTTAAAATATTGATTGCCAGAGCCTCAAGGAGGTTGGACTTCTACGTCCATCCTTGTTTTGAAGAACTAGTTTTGAGCCACACGAGAAGACATTTCGGCTTGTCACCTAATTGGAGTGCCCCCATGACGCAAAGACACTGTACATTTACAAACATTCATGCCTTCTCCAGGATTCGAACCTGGGCCTTTCGGCTTCCCTAACCATTATACCATTTGAACGGCATTATTATTGATTGGTTGATTTTATTGATTTTAATAATTATTTATATTTAAGCATTTTTTTAGTGAATGTTGAACGATAAGCCGACAGAATTTCGTATATAATATCCACAAAAGCCGTTGCATGCTACAAGAAGGGAATTAGAATATTCCTCAAATTTAAGCGTAGGAGTTAAGCCCAACAAAATGAAACAGCGCATCAGTGTCCTAAATCGCATTCTTTGATTTTAAAGTAGCCCATAGTTCATCTTCATTTTTACAATCATTAAGACGATGGAAAGAACTCAAAATTAGGAAATAAATAAATCCTCTCTAATCTTTGCAATACCCAGACCACCGAATTTTAAGTAGGTCTAAAACCACCAAGATTATCTGCTATAAAAATAATCTTTGGTGTCCCTTAATGAGGCTTAAATACCTATCATTGATTGTATAAAAAAAGAATTCTGTCGTAAACTTTGAAGAGGAAATAGCAAACAACGATGGCATACACACACGCAAACGGGAAAAAAAAATCTCATAAAAATTTCTTAGTCCTTCCTTCGGGTTGCGATTATTACTTATGCTTTTAATGAGTTCAGGGATTTGATGTTATTTCCTCTTTGCTTTTCGAATACCGATGGCCTTCGGTGATGAGCCGAGTTGTTTGCTTGCTGTAGCCAAAACGCAGCGGAGCGTTAATAATCGTTAGGTGAATCGGTTCCGATTCTACAAGTCCTTAAGAACTGATGCTTTAATTGTACTCTGCTTTACTTTCTAACTATCTTCCTTCTCTGCCAGTACCACGACTTAACTGCTGTTTCAAAAAGTTTTTGCTTCAGCTTTAGTCACTTCTCTTGGTCATTTTATCCCTATCACGTGCGAAGAACAATAAGGAAGACCTCCAGTTTAAACATCATAATAACTAAAGCGATGTTCTAGCTTCAGTCGGCTGCCTGCTTTACTTAACTAGAATTCTTAAAAATGATACTTTAGTAGATTCCAGTTCTTAATTGTTTCTTTACAGGCTATCGCACAAAGCCTATTGTTCACCATTTTTTTTTACGTGAATTTAAAACTTTACTAAATAGTTATTCGTGATCTGCATGAAACAAATTTAAATGCAAAGTCGCATTGCTTAGTTATTAATCGGTATTGTTCCCGAAGCATTATTTATATTCTATTCACATAAGAGCTTTCGAAATTAAATTAGTTATGTATTGTAAACTGATATAATCTGACTTACAGTAGATCTGGTCTGAGGCTTCTTGTATTATCTATATAAAATTCGATAATAAAAAGATATTTCTTGTTTGGTGTAAGAATGAAATGACAATATTCGACGTTCAGAATATATTCAAGTTAGTGATAGCGACTGGTACAAAGAGTTTTGAAAATATAAACCTTAGGCCAAATTAGAGTGGAAATCATAACTAAAAAGTTAAAAAATATATCATATTAAAATGCTTCGAGCTTGTACTTCGTCAGCGGGAGGTCAAAACTCAAGCATTCCGATCGGTCACATTCATAAAATCTTAAAACGTTTCAGTGTTCTGCGAGTGTTAAAAAACAAATTCTCTCTGAATAAATAAAAGATTTTCTAGACGCTCCCAAAGCCCACCCCTACGTTTCTCGACTTCATAAACCTTTTTTTTTTTTTTTTGTAGACAAAACATGATAAAGTATAATTAAAAGTTTGTCAAATCTATGTGCTCTTTCTCAATACAAATTGTTTATATTTTAATAACATTTGTATCTTGAAATTATACATGCATATGTATATATGTAATAATTTAATGCATAGGAGGAATCCGATACTTTAACTGCTTTCGATATCCGTCATAGCTGATGATTAAGGAATACTAATGAAGATAAAAAACTGGATTTTCATAAATCATCAATCTTTATTTTCGCACGTATCAAATCATTTCTAAGTAGATAAGATATTTCTAGATCATAAGCAATTACAACATTTTTATATGCACTTTATATCATCTTAGAATAAGAACAAAGAAGGGCATAGTAGCATAGAGATGTTTGTATGGCGGAAGCTAGGGAAAGGAATGACGTAGTTATTGCGCCAAGAGTATTACACTAAGTCTGATGTATAAGTACAGTTAATCTGTGATTGGTTAATTTACGTTGTTACATAACATGGAAAGATCACGAATTTGGGAGAACAAATGAATTTAAGGGGAGAGCACCAAATCTAGAATGGTTAATTATGAGGTCGCCAATTATTCTTAAAACAGTTATCGTATTTTGTTATATATTT